AGCCATGCCCACTCCTACTTAAGAGATGACTCCAAATCTCTCCCATAGAATTTGCTTCTAGGCCTGGAGCTGGGTTTCCAGACGCTTCTGGAACATTCCACATGCACTCCATCTAGGCAGGTCCATAAGTGAGCTGCTCCCATCTTCCCTCCAGACCTGGCGAAGGGCATCGTTACCTGCTAGGTGACAAAACCCAAATCCAGGTTTCTCCCCTTGCTCCTCTCCTAGTACATTGTGTTCCTCCTCTCCCCAAGGAGCCCTTCTGTCTGTCCCCTCTCTGCTCTCAGTGCCATTGCTTGCCTCAGACCTCAAGCATTCCTCATCTAGATTAGGGGATGACCCATCTTCTGTTCTTTTTCTAGTCATCCTCCAAATAGCTCTTTAAATCATATTTCTGACATATGAATCTGTCAAAAATCTTTAAGTGACTTATTATTTCCAGGTCCTCAGATCTGACCTACACCTACCCTCTCTAACCTTATCATCTGCCTCTTTGCCGCCAGAACTCATCCTGTCAGTCATGAGCTCCATGTAGTTCAATCACTGCCCACCCCTACCCCACGCCTCTGCATGAATGTATTTCTGTATTTGATGGGCTCATCCTCCTGTCCTTGGTCAGGTGGGTGTTTCTCTGCACTGCAGAGCACCCTGCATCTAACTTTATCGTAGCTCTAAGTGCTCCTGTTTGCAAAACTGTCCCCACTATTAGGCTCTGAGCTCCTAGAGAGCAGAAAGTCTGTCTTCCCTGGCTGTCTCCCCTAGCCTAGCATGGAGCCTATTGCATCAGGTAGCCGAAAAGTGTCTGTTGATGTAGGAATAACACATGCCATAGGGCTTCAAAAACTGAGAAGGTTCAGATAGGCCTAAGTTTATTATAATTTAGGATCTGACGGTTTCGACCCCCAAACTATTTTCTAATCCAGTAAATAGAGTCTTGAGTGTCTATTTGGCTTCCTAATCTTAAATTTCACTGTAGCAGGGTTCAGGGTTTGGGGGAGGGCAGCAGCAGGGAGACATTCATGTGTGTATTTTTCTTTTTCTCTTTCCCACCATGTCCCCCTTTCTCCCTTCTACTGAGTTGATGCAGGGGTAGAATCTAAAGAAGTTGATGGCTTAGTATAGGGTCTAATTCTTAGTGTAGGGCTCTTCTTCCTGCTGTCCTCACTGTGTCTGCCACCAGAGGGTCCGGGGATGTTCCTGGGATTCATAGCATTCTTTTCACACAGATGCTTAAGAATCACTTCCATCTGGCCCAGTGCCAGGGTTCCCTCAAGCGCACAGCTGTGCGATCTGCCCTTCAGCAGACCATCAGGATGCTGGGTGCATTCTATAATTAGTTAGGGCTTTGGGGGTTGCAAGGGATGGAAATCCAATTCAAACCAGTTTGAGTATGTGGAATTCGTTAAATCAAAACTAGGAAGAACACAAGTGGATCTTGCTTAGAGCACAACGAGATCCAGCCACAAGTGGTCCTCCAGAGCCCTGTGGCTCTCTCTGTCAGCCCATCTGCCTGCTTTCTGCTGAGCTCTTTCTGGGATAGGCATCATATTTCTAGCTCATAGCTATAATTCAAGAGGAAAAATAAGGCCCTATAATCTCTTAAATGAATTGCTCCCTGACCAGTCCTGTCATTGGGGCATGGCATCCATGACTATCAAAGTCTAGTCCAGAGGGGGTTTGGGACACTGTGACAGCCCCTTAAGAACCATATGGAGGGAGAGGGCTGTTCTCCATAGAAAAAGGGACACTGAACACACAATCAACAGAGTATATAAGATTTGAAAAGATAACATATATAGACTTGGAGAATCTCAGACATAAGTGTCCCATCTTCTGGGAGTTTTGCAATTGCAGGTTTATAGCTTTCCTCAGTCTCTTCCAGGCTTGGTTTCTTTCAGCCCCCTGTTCATTCTGCAGAATCCTCTCCAGCCCTGATTTAGGGATCCTGCCTCTCCTTCTGGCTTATGTTTCCACTGGGGGACCCCTTACTATATTAAATACCTCATTTACAGTGGCCTGAATGACATTTCCCTTGTGCCAGAGCTGGGAAAGAGCTGAATTATAGCTTTCCTTTCTGGGGTCATTCCCAAGTGATTTTTTCCACTCACCTCTTCCCTTTGAACTTGTGCTAATTAAGAGATCCTTGGGGTTTCCTATCCCTAGGCCTCTCAACCTCTGTTCCTTATAGTCTCCGGCTAGAGAAGGCACAGGGGCTTCTTATTTGTCAAGAATTTGTTTTATTTATGTGGTGCTGAGGATCAAACCCAGAGCCTCACATGTGCTAGGCAAGCGCTCTACCACTGAGCCACAACCCCAGTCCCCATGTGTCAGGAATTTGTGGTTCTAGGTTTCTATTCCTGGGCCATTATTGAATCTCAGGCAAAGTGAACAAAAGCATTGTCCTCACATGGCAATGTGACAAAATTGACTTTGGAGTCAAATTAACCTGGGTTCTATGCAGCGCTGTATTCAGTGCTGTGTCTCAAGCACTGAGTTTCGTTTTTTTCTTATTGATCAAATAAAGGTGATGGTCACTTGGGCTGCTGTGAGGACTTGAAAGAGCAGGGGCAAAATGCCTAGCACAGTATCAGCACCCAGTAGTTGTAACTCCAGTGAATTTTGAAAATGGCCAGCATACACCGAGGGCTTCTGTGTTACAGGCTCTGTTCTATTCTCTGTGTGTGTGCTGAATAGTGAACTATAATTGTTAATTATCATTAATAGACTCATGAGTTTCCTCAACATGCTTATGAGTTGGGGGTCATTTCTACTCCCATTTTATAGATGAGGCAGTTGGAGGCATGTGTTAGAACCAGCATACTAACTCAGAGCCCCTGGTCTTACCCACAACACGACAGTGTTTATTTCTGCATCTTACCTGGAGTCCAGCCCCTCTGATGTGAGCCACACTGGACAGACCTGTGACTCCACACTGATTGTAGCAAATGGATTATTCCCCTGGAGTTAACATGTTTCTAAAGTCTTTGCAGATTCAGTGTATAAAAGTAATAAGTGGATTTATTAGTTCGCTCAAAGGTGAGGAAACCCTGCTAGATCCATTTGGTGGAACCAAACATTCAAGTCACCCCAAGGTGAATGAGAAAGGTGTAGAGTAGAGAATGAGTTCAAATCCTAGCTGTGCTACACTGTGTGTGCTGTTGGACAAAAATTTCGCTTCTCCATGAATCTGTAACCTTAATTATAAGATGAGATTTTGGAAAGTAAGAATCATACTTGTTCTACCTGCAAGTTTAGGAAAATTGAGAAACATACACAAGAGTAAGGTAAGGATCCAGTTATCACTTTGGTTGCTGCTGAAACTGGCTTGGGCCCAGGGCTAAAAGAAAGCTTCCTGAACTTCCTCTCACATCTGAACCTTGCAACCCAGCTGTGGGGAAGCTGAATCTGTAGGCCATGTGCAGACCTGGCTTCAGACCTGTCTGGACTCAGGGTTTGCCTGGTGCACTAGTTATGGGAACAGGAGGTGGGGACATCTGCCCTGTGTTCAGGCTGCCCCCATCCCACAAAAGAAAAAGAAGAAGAAAAAATGTGGGGCATGTGGCCACAACAGGCAAACTCTAGCTCTCCCACAAATCAAATATACAGAAGGGCAGCTGGGAGCTCTTTTCCAATTAGTTGAGAGGAAAGAAGTTTGTAGTGCACAGGCAAAGGTAGGAATACCAAGAGAGGGAGAAGATGACTGCTTCCATAAATACCATCCACTTGATAGCAATGGAGAGATTAAATGAGGTGAGGCATATACAGGACATATCTAGTATATGGTTAATGCCTAGTATATCGTCACCATGGCACACGCAGGCAGACTGGCAGCTGATGCATTGGTGCTGTGAATGTAACTCCTAGTGAGATGTTGGAACATTGGTATCAGCGAGCCATAATATTTCTCTCCCAGGGAAAAACCTATTTGGGAAATCTGGTTGAAGGGGAGGACAAAATAAGAACAGATAGCTCTGTTATTTTAAAGGATCTAGAAGTCTGATATGTTGGTTTTTCCCACTGTATTAGTCCATTTTCTATTGCTATAACAAAATACCCAGGACTAGGTACTTTGTATAAAAAAAGAGGTTTATTTAGTTCACAGTTCTAGAGAATGAAAGTCCAAGATGAAACTGCCCCATCAGTTTTTCCTGTGTTAAGGTCCTCATGGCAGACAGCATCCATAATATGGTGCTTGTGGAAGAGGCCACATGGTGAGGCAGGAGGCAGAGATGGGATGGGTCCAGTCTTCGTCTTAGGATAACCCACTCTCTTGGGAACTGACTTCATGAGATCAGTGTCAATCCCTTCCCTCCACAGTGACCTAATTACCTTCACTAGACCCCACCTCTTAGAGGTTCTACTACATCTCATGTCAGCACACTGGGGACCAGGCTTTCAACACATGAATCTGTTGGGGACACACTGAAACCATATCCAAATCATAGCACCCACCGAACAAGGATCTGCTCACTAAGCAAATGGTAATGCCCATAGTGTCCATCCTGTCAGCGATGGAGCGTGCTCATCACTCTTAAAAAAAATTGCATATATATATATATATATATATATATATATATATATATATATATACATTTTAACCCTTTTTAAGTATACAGTTTACCAGAACTAAATATATCCACAGTGTTGTGCAACCATCACTACTGTTTCCGAAACTTTTCATCACCCCAGACAGAACCTCTGGTCACTGAGCAAGAAGTTCCCACTTGCAAACTCTCATTGATTAATGTCTTTATGAAATTTGTCTATTCTAGAAATTGTTCTATTCTAGGAATTTCATAAAAGTGGAGACATGTACTATTGTCCTTTTGCCTCTGGTCATTTCCCTGAGCATCATGTTTTCAAGCTTTATCCATGTCATAGGATGCATCAGAATAAGCTGATCACTTTTTAAATTAAAACTTTAACGGCTTCCATGAGGACCACTTTGTGCTTTTTCCTTGTTCTGATCGTATCTCTTTCCTTCTTTTCAACATTTTTAGAGCCTCCACTTCCAGAAGTAGAGTTTTTCATGGTGCATGGAGGGCCTCTGCCGCGCCTCAGACTGAGGAAAGTCAAAGATAAAAATGGACCTATCAGGTCAGTAGTTGTCTTTTGTCTTTGGGGGTTGTTCAGGGAATCCCATAGAGTGTTCCGGAAGCCCTGGTTTGGGTGAGAAGACTCTGTCAGTAGACTGGAGTCATTGGGGCCATGCAATGTTTTGCTTCCCTGGGCACAGACTGGCATTTAGTCTGAAAGAGCCCTCCAGATAGGCTGACCCTTGAACTCATGATCCTCCTGCCTCAGCCTCCTGAGTCACCGGGATTACAGGTATATGGTATCACCCCAGCAAGAGAGAGATTTTAAGTGACCAGGCTCAAACACTTGGGCAGCTTAGCTCCACATATTAAGCTTTGGCTGGCCATATCAGGCACTGCCCTTTGTACTCACATCCTGTAGTGCATCCTTTAGTGACAGTGGGTCAGGAGCATCCTTTCATTTGCCAGAGACAGAACATGTTTGTCTTTATGTAAGACTGTGTCGTGAAAAGGTCATTTGGGTAATTTTTTTTTTTATCTATTTTTGAATTGAGTTATGGGTAAATACTGTGTAGTTAATGACTACTGCTAAATTCCAGATGTAATTAGGATGGCATTAATTGACTTCTGTTGGAAGACTACATTGTGTTCAATTTTGCATTTTATTTGCAAAGGTCAAGTTAGGATAGAGAGGAAGATTAGGTTGGCCTGGAGAGAGGAGCAGCTTGCCCACAGTACCAGGTCGAGATGACAATGTGTGCGGCTTGACCCATGTAACTTCATGTCTCTCTTGACTCTTCAGTCTAGTGACCCCTCAGTGCCAGCAAGGTAAAAATAAATATGAGATACTGTAAATTTATGAAAAAGAAAGTCTGGAGATATTATCTGTGGGTCCATTTATAATGAAACTTAGAGCTTTCCTGCTTCTATATTAATTTAAGTTCAGGGTCTTTCCAGGATGGACATTGCATAAATGTTGCTGTTTTTTGATTCCTGACAAGTTACTGGAAGGCACTGTAATTCTGTTGCTGCAAGGAAGGCAGAACTTATGACATCACTGGCTGAGTGAATTTGCAAGAGTTAATGTGACTTCAGCCAAATAATTACGTAAAGCAAAAAGAAAAGCCAAATGACCATTTACCCTTGTGGCTCTGGGTTGGGCAGGGCTTCCAAAACAGGAAGTGGAGGTCTGTGAGTCATTCAGGGGAGGGTGGTGGTGAGACACAGGGGAGAAGTTCTTCCATAAGGGTTGGGTTTCAGGCCACCACAACTGCTTCCCTGATGTCATCAGGGCCCATTACTATCAGGCCAGTGGGCTGATTTCCTCAACCTGACCACCTGCTTTGAGCTGGGGCTAGCACTTTTGCAAGGCCTGAGTCTTCTTGGTGCATTGTTTGGGAGCAGTGGGACTTGGGGTACATAGTGGAGCAAGGACCCTGGTACCAAATCCCCCTTGTTGAATTTGCTGATCTTAGGCCAAAGATTCGTTCTGTAGCTAGGCTCCCTTAGTTCTACTGTCTTCACTTTTGCCAGGTTATAGGAATCACCTGACTGGGCTGGTTTATTAGCAATAGGAATTCCCAGCTCTTCTGGAGGTTTCGATTTAGTAGGTCTGGGATGAAGTCTGAGTATTTGTATAATCCTCAAGCTGAGTGGGGAGCTGCTTCCTGTCCTGTGAATGATGCCTTTAGTAGGCAATGTACAAAACCAAATGGGTGCAGGTGAGACTTGAACTTGTACATGACCACCACCACCTGCACGGAAAGATGCGAGGGATGTGAAGATGTGCGTATGGACAGCGTGGTGCAGCCTCGTTTCCTTTCTCACTTGCAGCCATGATTCATAGGGATGATTTCAGATCTCCGGGAAATTTGTTATTAGAGGGGTTGCCTGTAGGAGTGGATGCTCAGCAAATGTTTACTGGTGGTGGAGATGACTACTACTTACTGCCCTGCAGGTTTTATTTTGTTTCTTTTGTAGAAAGCCCTTTGTTGAAAGTGAGCCCAGACTTTGTGGAAATCAGAGCCGTGAGGACACCTAAAATATTTTTGAACCTGATGGGTGGCTGGAGACTTTCCAAATACAACACCTGCTGCTAGGGAGGGCTCCCTCTTCTTTTCTTTTCTTTTTAAAGTATTTATTTATTTATTTAGTTGTAGTTGGACATAATACCTTTATTTATTTATATGTAGTGCTGAGGATCGAACCCTGGGCCCCGCACGTGCTAGGCGAGCGCTCTACCACTGAGCCACAATCCCAGCCTGGCTCCCTCTTCTTAATTTAGTGATCCATGAACTTTTAGGAAGCGGGAGATGTCACTAGGAATATGGAGAGGGAAATGCAGATTTGGTGGTAAAATAGAATTATGTGGCTTAAACGAGTTTTGGAAATTACACTAATTACATTTGGTGATGATACAGTCTCTTCCTCTTTACTGAAAGTTCAGCTCATGAAACATTAATGGGGGCTGATCATAGCCAAAGAAATGTGCAAGGATTTACAAGGATACAAGAGTAAGGTGTTCAAATCCCTGCTCTTGCGTCTGATCAAGGAAGCAGATGTTCAAACATGTACCGCACCAGAGGCGGGAGAGAAGCACAGAGTAGATGGAAATGGAAAGGATTGTGTGACTCACCCGTGGTGCATTTTTATGTTCTATTTCCTTCCTGGTAGGTTTTCTATGTGGTGGGATAAATAATAACAAAATACATGACACAATGATCCCTGACTGTTAGCGTGTCTCTGTGTGCACACTTAGGGAACAGTTTTAGAATGCAAAAATGTCATTTTTACCTTTCTTCCCATTTTGAGACCTTATGAGCCTAGATTAACTCATGGTGACTTTGCACTCCTGGCTTCTTGTTTATTTCACATGAACTTTGGTATCAGCCTGTGAACTGTAGGGAATATAAATCACATGAGTTCTGTTTTAAGTTGCCACATGATTGTCTGGAGCCTTTGCTCAGACTTAGGACATTAACTGTTTTGGGCAGTTGGCCTCCATGTGATTGCTAAACCCTTTCTACTGCTGTTCTTTACTTGCCCATGTGAAAAATCACTGATTAGATCAACTTTATGGCAGACACGGCAGGGCAGTTGTACATGCCAAAGACTTCTCCCAGCTAAAGAAGATGTCCTTGGCTGGAGCTTGGAGAGGTTATCAGCCAGTGTTATCTGGCATTCGCACTCAAGGTCAATTTGGTGCTCCACAACTGTTTGAGCCCTCAGATAGTAAATCCCATGTGGGCCAGAGCTTTTTCTTTTCTGGCATTGTGTCCCCAGTGCCTTGAAAAGTACTTCATCTTATAGTAGGATTTCAATGTATATGAATGAATGAATGCATGAGTCCTCCAGGCAAGGGTCCAATAGGTGAGTTTTATAAAATGCACATCTGATCAAGGCACTCCAGTGTAATGAGTCCCTGCCAATTTCTCTGCTTTCTTTTTCCTTCCAGTACTTATCAGGTGGTGGTGCTTCCTCTGGCTCTCCAAAACACATTTTCTTGTGATTCCGAAGGTGCTACCTTGTTCTTTAACAATACCTCTGATGCTAATGGATATGTGGCTGCAGAACTGCTGGCCAGAGATGTTGCAGATGATACCATGGATATTTCTATTGGAGACAGGCTATACTATGGCAAATATTATAATGCACCCTTGAAAATAGGGAACGATTACTGCATTATATTACGAATCACAAGTGAATGGAATAAGGTATAGTTCTTTAAAAAATCTCTTGTTAACTCTAAATGTTCTTCTTCATATGAAGTTTACTTGGTTGAATACGTGTCTTCCCAGTATTTGAGATGTATAGTCCATGTAATGACCACTGAAATGCACCAGGAGGATTACATTGCATTCGAGACCTTGATGGATGTACAATTGGGTTGATCTGGCTTGGTTATTCCTAAGCTTCATGAATAACTGCATTCTATTGCCTTGCTGACATCTGAGAAGTCGGGAGGACCATCTAGATCTCTCTGTCAACTTCCCCATACCGCTCCTGTGTTGCTACCTCCACTCATCCTGCAAAGAAGGAGGGAGGGGCAGTTAAGCACAGCCCTGCCCCACTTTATCCTTACCCTTGTTTCCTTGGCTATAGAGTGGGCCCCACTCTCCCGTCCCCTGTCCTCAGGAAGGCTCTGCTCTTCCAGCAGTGTTTCTGTCACGAGACAGAGAAGTAAATATTCATTAGATAATTAGTAAATGTAAGGGGCTGGACTAGCAGAATAGCAAGAACTATTCAGTATCAGTCAGGGACAGAGGATCTGGAAGGACCTAGAGACCCTAAGCTTGGTGTAAATGCACATGGGTTAGTAGTGGAAACTAAACAAAGTTATATTAATGCTAGTGAAACATCTCTTGACTGGTAAATTTGAGGCCAAAATATGTAGCCATCTCAAGTGTAAGGTTTAATACATATTTAAAACAGAGACACTTTATTAAATTCTAGATAGAATACAAGTCTAATGTGCAATGGACAAGATATTAAACCAATGGTTACTTTTAAGACTATGTCCAACTAGCAAAGAAATCTGGGGGTACCTTGATCCATTTTGAGTTACTTTTTGCGTATGGTATTAGATAAGGATCCAACCGATTATTATTATTATTTTTTGCTATGGATATCCAGTTTTCCCACACGACTTATTAAAAAGGCTGTCTTTTTACCAGTGAATGTTCTTGACACTCTTGTCAAAAAACATTTGGCAGAGGGCTGAGATTGTGGCTCAGACGTAGAATGCTTGCCTAGCATGTATGAGGCACTGGGTTCAATCCTCAGCACCACATAAAGTAAAATAAAGACATTGCGTTCACTTATAACTAAAAAAAAATCATTTGGCATATATGTAAATATTCATTTCTGAGCTCTGTATTCTGATCCATACATCTGTCTTTATGCTAGTATCACAGTGTTTTTTTGTTTGTTTGTTTGTTTGCTTTGGGTTTTTTTGGTACTGGAGATTTAACCCAAGAACACACTGAGTCACATCCCCAGCCCTTTTTGTTTTATATTTTGAGACAAGGTCTTGCTAAGTTACTTAGGGCCTCACTAAGTTGCTGAGGCTGGCTTTGAACTTGCACTCCTCCTGCCTCAGTCTCCCAGGCCCCTGGGATTACAGGCATATGCCACCACATGGAGCAATATCACACTGTCCTGATTACTGTAGCTTTACAGTGCATTTTGAAATCTCCCATTTTGTTTTTTCTTCTATGGATTTGTTTTAAAAAGTAGCATCACTATACTTTTAGTCACTGAGGCAGAAAACTAGGAGTAATTCTTCTTTCTCCTTCTTACCTCTTGTCCAGTCTCTCATGACATCACATCAGTCTATCACCTCTGTCACCTGAACGCTGCTTGAAATCGTGCAGTCTTCTCCTTTTCCACCAGCATTGTTCAGCCGTTGTCTTCTCTGTACATCTCTTTTCTAACTCACATTTCCTGCCTCTTATTTCTACTCATCTCTGTGCCCCACACTGCTGTCAAGACGAGTGCTAAAATGCACATCTGATCAAGGCTCTCAATGTAAAGAGCTCTCCTCTTCCACCCATTTCTTTGCTTGAACATTTTTTACTTCCCTAGTAACTAGCTTGCTATTTGCAGTTCCTTTGCTTCTCCAGTGTCTTGAAATACATCCTTCTCTACTTATTCTTGTCCTTCCTTCCTAACTTTGTACTTAGCCTCAAGGTGAAATTTAATCACATTCAAAACCTTACAACTGTTTTCAGCTTTTCCAAGAAAATTTTCAGTTTAAATATATTTTTAAAATATTCTAATAAAATGAAAACAAGAATGCCAGCCGTTGACACTTGAATCTCCTAAAGAGGTTGGAGGACTCCTTCTCTAACTCCTGCTGTTCACCTTCCTCTGGGGTCTATCATGTTAGAGTTTTATCATACTCAGTAATCCCAGCAGTCCTGATTGACAAATATGCACTAATAATGATGAAGAGAAGGGAAGGCATTCCATTCCAGTGGTTTGTAGGTTTCTTCTACCATGGATGAGTTTCCATGTGTGTTCCTGTGGCTTTCTTCCTTGTTCTTGAATACATTTTGGGTAACTGATGTTGCCATGTGTCATTCAGACAGGCGAGGAATTATTATGTATCAGGACTTGTCATAACCTTGCTTATAACATGCATCACTAGTTCTGCTGAACTTGGCTGTGACCTCAGAATCCTCAACATAGTTCTTCAAGGCAGTTAAAACCAGGAGCTTTGAGCTGGTGGCGAAATGAAGCTCTTGTCATTCTCGTGTTTACAGTAGCATGTCCTTCCTGAGATCTTTTGGAAACCTATTGAAGTGATCTTCTGGATTACTTCTGTGCCTGCTACCCATATTAGTCCCCTGAACAATGGTGATATATGGCTGAATCATAAAGTAGAAAAGCTAGACGGGACTCTAGAGATCTTCCAGTTCAAATTGAGATATAAAAAAGCTGAGGGTCCAAAGGTTTCAGCCTCCCAGCTCTGTTGTTTAAACAGACACTATGTGCCACCTAGTTAAATGTGCTACTTTGTTTTTTGCTTACAGATGAGAAGATACTCCTGTGCAGTTTGGGCTCAGGTGAAAGGTAAAACCATTTTCTGCCTATGAACGCTGTCCTGATTTTTTCCCTATTCAATTTGTAGCATCAAGTTTATGTTAAGATCTCTTTTTAAATTGTCACAGATGACAGAAACCCAGCTCCTACTATCTTAAGCAAAAAACCACAATTGAAAAGAATGCTGTGTGTGTGGGGCAGTTTATAGCATTGTAAAAAGAGCTCTAAGCCCAGGCCTCCAGGGACACCATGAGTGGGGCTCCTCCTTTCTTTCTGCCTCTTGTCCCTGATCTCCATGTCAGTGGTCTTAGTTTTCCCCACTGTAGGAGAGATGGGTCCCTGCTGCCCCAGCTGAACAACTTCAGTGAGAACGGAAAGGTTTTTAATTCAGGGAGGGTGTCTATCTGTTGGATAAGTCACTGTTGATAGAAGATAGGGAGCTATGATTGGCTTTTCTTGTGTTTTGTGTTTACTCCTGTGGCTTCTTGGGGGCAGAGCAATGTGATCCGTAGCTCTGTTTGGGTTGTACTAAGACAGGGATGAAATTCCCACCTAGAAAAGGGGCACAAGGGGCTGGGGTTGTGGCTCAGTGGCAGAGCGCTCGCCTAACATGTGTGAGGCCCTGGGTTTGATCCTCAGCACCACATAAAAATAAATAAATAAAGTAAAGGCATTGTGTCCAACTACAACTAAAAAATAAATATTTAGGGAATAAAAGGGGGCACAAGAAAAAACATGTTTACAGACCAAAACAATAGCTACAGCTGTCTCTTAACTACTACTGTTTGTGTGGCATGTGCACATATACATTTACACTCACATACCACATAATGACATTTTGGTCAAAATGGTCCACATATACAATGGTGGTCCCATAAGCTTTTATCACCTGAGATAGCATAACCATCTTAGTCTGTGCAAACGTATTCTAGGATGCTTGTATAATAGCGGTATCACCTAGTGGTGCATTTCTCATAATGTATCTCTGTCAATATGCCATGCATCATTGTAATATTAAGAAAAATGTCCTCTATTAACAGAATGGAACTATCCCACCTACCATAAAAAAACAATGGAACCCTAGGGGAATACAACTCAAAGGCTGGTTATGCATCCAGTTCCAAGACCAGGAATCTTGGAGATGATATTTTCTTTTTGATCAGATCCAGATGTGCTTCTCATGATCCACTTAATCATCTGTGATTAAATGGAAAGTTTAACCATTCTCAAATAGCAGTGTATAACACGATAGGGAAAACTGGGTAACCACAATACATACTCTCACTTAGAAAGGAGGAAACGATAAAGCAATATGTAGTGGTTGGGGGCCATGACAGTGGCCCACCTCCTGCTGGACAGGTAAAGCAGGCATCTCCTGCCATGGTAGCAGAATGGGACACTTGGTCAGTTTGGCTACCTTAGGGTCTGCTTGATGGGAGAGTGCCCCTTGTCCATTTCCTCCCGAACCTTCCTAAGGGATGCAGTGGGAAGGGTCTCTGCTAGGCTGGGTGCTGTACAGCTTTAGCCTTCTGCACATTGGCAGAGTTACCGGGGAAGGGAGGCAGATTGCCTCAGGGACTGAGCAATTGCAGGTTTCCTGTTTGCCAGGCTCGGGACTTCCCAGGCAGTACATCTCTTTAAAACCACCAGGCAGCGGGCCAGTGGATTTGATTCCCAGGAATTCCATTAGTTTGTAGTTAAAACCAGAAATCTTGACAAGTTTATGACCTTGGAATCTGGACCTTTTCCTCATGGTTTATGAGTCCTCACAACAGGCTAAAGAATTCTGCCCTCAGCCCACAGTATCAGTTTAACCCCTTGTGGCCTGTCCCCTGCCTCAGAGCAGCATAATCCTTTTGCTTTCAGGAGGATTTGAAAAGATGGCACTTTTCAGTGGTGTCTGTTATCCTGTAGGTCGAGTGTATTTTTCAGGAAATGTTTAGGAGGGGCCCAGGGAATTAGGCTTCCTTCATTGGTCTGCTCCCCCACTCCCCAATCTTATTTTCCTTAAAAAAAAAATCTCTGCTCAAACTTCAACAAAAATGAAGGTGTTGGCTCGTGAGCTGGGCAAGGTGAATCCAAGACTGCTGGGCAAGCAGTCTTGGATTGCTGGCTGCTGGCAGTGTGGGACACTATATTAAGATGACTGTTTTTCTGTTTGTATGAAGATGGGCCAACCTCCCTTTCCTGCAGGTATTTAATGCAGGACACAGGAAGCAGTCACACATTCCAACTTTTGGAAAAACTGCTGTCAGTCCATTCCCTGAAATTCTAGGGATGGGAATAAAATTAGTGTGGCTTTTTAGAAATAAGAGTCAGGTGGGGGCATGCAGGCTGAGAAAGAGGGAAATTCTGAGCTCTTCTGAAGGAAGATGAGAAGGAGGCTCTGCCAGCCATCTACAGGATGAAGGCTTGGGCTGTGCGTGAAGGCCATGCGCACAGTGTGTGGATTGAGAGAATGAGGAGTGGTCACAGAAACAATAGCTTCCAGAATCCACTCAGCAACTGTTTGATATGATTGGAAAACATTCAAACTGGGTAGAAGAAATAACCAGAGAGCTGCTGTAGGCATTCGGCTGTGGGTTAGCTAATGGGAAGGATTTCACTGTGAGAATATCCAAGTGGCTTTTGGCAATGCCCTTTTCTCCTCAACTTAAGAACTAATATTGAAAGAGAATTTGATCCTTTGAATTCAAACCACTGGAAAGCTCTAGAAGGTAATAGAAAACCCACTGTTATGTTGAACTTCTAAAGGCAATTCTAGTATGTATTTATCTATGTATAAAATTCACATGTGTGTGTACTGTTCTCTGGAAGTGTTTTTCAAAAAATTTTGGAGACTTTCATAAAGTAGTTTGGAGAGAAGTGGGATCCAAATTAGTGCCGAAAATGTTCCAATTCACCTGTGTCAACCCTTAGCCCCATTCTGGCCTTTTACCCAGTGACAGGTTATATAATTTACTTTTTATATATTGCCACTAAAAGAACTTTGAGATGATTACCAGGGAGTAGTTCATCCAATAGCAAATACAGAGACCTGGGCTTCCTTGCTTGAGTCAGCCAAGGGTCTTTGAAATGATATTTAACTTGGCTAGTCCTCAGTTGCCTCTGTCTGGGCCTTTGAAATCCCTTCTAGCCACAAAGGCTTTGGTTTCTTGAGTCATGGAGATGATAATAAGGTGTAATCAGGGAGCATTCTCCATCACAGGCATGAAGTCCTCTGAGTCATTAGTGACCACTCCTCATTCTCCCAATCCACACGCTGCGTGCATGGCCTTCTCACACAGCCCAAGCCTCCATCCTGTAGATGGCTGCCAAAGCCTCCTTGCTCATCTTCCATCAGAAGAGCTCAGAATTTCCCTCTTCCTCCAGCCTGCATGCCCCCACCTGACTCATATTTCTAAACAGCAGCACTAGTTTTATTGTTTCCTCTGATAATTATTCTCTGGCCCTCCATTAATTTTTAGCCTGGCTTCTGAGACCTCTCAGTCTGATATCAGCGTTTTCTCTAATTGCTTCTCTCATTCTCCATCCAGACTGACCTTCTGCTGTTTTCTGGATATGGCTCAAGAGTTCTCTCCTTAATGTCTTTGCTTGCATGGTGCCTTGATGAATTCCACCTGGATTGCCCTATACCCTGTCTGTGACTCTTCTTATTACAGTCCCACTTCTCTTCAAGCTTAAAACCAAAAGGCATCTCCTTCCTGAAGCTTTTTGAGTTTCCTCAACAGGAGAAGATCTCCCTCTCTCCTTCTCTTTAGCCATTCTGGTATACCTTAGAGCAACTGGTGAGCTCTTCTTTTCTTAATAATTTCAAACCCTTCAGGGAGAGCATTTGAAGAGCTGGGACACTGTGGCACGGGTTTGGTTCTCAGAACGTACTGAATTAGAGTCAGTGGTTACTGGGGATCCTGCAGTTTTATGGGAAGTGAAGCATAGTAAGTGCAATACTTATTAAACAAGCCAGAGAAGATTCGCATCAAGATATAAGAGTCTATGTGTACACATGTAGAGTTGGCTCACTGGACCTGCAGGTTCCACATCATGGATTCAAACCACTGCAGATAAAAAAATATTTGGGGAACAAAATTACATCTGTAACTGAACATGTAGAGACTTTTCCCCTTGTCATTATTCTATACAAACTATACATTATAAGAACTATTTGCACAGCATGTACATTTAGGTATTATAAATAATCTAGAGATGATTTAAAGTATATGGGAGGTTGTGCATGGATCACATGCAATTACTGCACCATTTTAGATAAGGGACTTGAGCATCTGTGGATTTTGGTATTCTCAAGGGGTCCTGGAACCAATCCCCTGCAGATACTGAGAGACAACTGTATATACTGTTTATGTAGACACACACACACACACACACACACACACAGAGAGAGAGAGAGAGAGAGAGAGAGAGAGAGAGAGAGAGAGAGAGAGACTAATTTTAAGCCTTCACAGTTGTGGCAGTCAGAATTTTAAGGTAGCTCCCTAGAATTCTTGGACCCTGCTGTATACCCACCTTCTCTCAGTTATTCATTTACATTCTTCTACATGTTGCTGATGAGGTATTTTGAAGAAGTAATTAAAGTCCCCAGTAGGGAGATTATCCCAATGGGGCCGACTGGTCACATGAGCCCTTTAAATCTGAGTGCAGAGGTCAGAGACAGGGGAAGTTAGAGATTCAGAGGGTAAGATGGATTTGACACAGAGACATTGTCCTGCTATCTTTGAAGTCAGAGAGGGTCATGTGGCAAGGAATGCAAGTGGCCTGTAAAAGCTGAGAGTGCCTCACCACCCACCCCAGCTGACAGCCAATGAGAAAATGGGGACCTCAGTCCTCCAAATGCAAGGAACTGAACTTAGCTGATGTCCTGAATGAATTTGGAAGCTGACACTTCCCCAGAACCTCCAGAAAGGAAATGAAACCCCCTGATACCTTGATTTCAGCCTTCCAAAAGTCCCACCTCGGAACAGAGAAGCAGTTACAGTGTGCCTGAACTTTCAAACCACAGGATTGTGAGCTAA